TAACCATGAAAGAAGTTGTAAAAACTATTTTGTTAATAATAACAAATAAGATTTTATGCATTATAAATACATACACTTCTCTTAAATCATTCTGGCAAATTTTATTACCTGTTAATTTGATACTGTTATTTTTATAGGATATATGCATTTTTGTAAGTAAATTTAGAATACAAAAATGTCTTTTAAGTGAGTGCAAATACTACATCTTTAAAGTTGTAAAAGAATAATTTGCAATGAAAAAACTGTATTTTTTAGATACATGAGTTAGTAAAAAAATCTTTGAATTTATTTCCAAATTCTTCTTAATCAGTTAGTAAATATCATAGTACATAAAATTACGAAAAGAGTCAAGAGCTGGAAGTTAGGAGTCGGGAGTCGGTATAAAAAAGCCGACTCAAGAATTGGGAGTAAGAAATTTTTGGTTTACGCCCCACCCTGATCTCAGAAATGATACACTTTTTTAAGAGGATTTTTTTTTTTTAAAAATGCATTTAATATATAAAAGATTTTTCCTTGGATAGCGCTAAATTTGTTACATCTCTACTTTTTGATGGCGAATGATCTCAGGGCATAGTGGCTCAGTATTTGAAAAACGGAATTTTTCTTAATTAACTTATTTAGAATATACGAGTATGAATTAACTTTGAGAATATGCGCAATTAAATAGCTTTTCACAATAAGAATTTCTCCATATGTGATTTTTATTTGAATTAATGAAAATCAACTTGAAATTCCACAATCCCATTTATGTTCTTTTTTCTAGGATGGATTTATTTCGTATGAGTTAAAGTACAGAAGTAGAGATCCGGCTGGCCTTCATTTCCGCCAAGAATACAGTGACGGTTCCGGATTAATAAAAGGAATCTTGAATTTGAAAGACGAAAAAGGCGACGAAAAATGATAAATTATTCCCTCGAAGTCAAAAAAGTCCCAGATACTTCACTGCAATCATCTACCTTGAATTTTCGTGACTCTTTAGAAAATCAAATTTCTGAAAATCAAGATCAAAGATCTCAAGATCAAAGAACAAAGAAGATTCGATAGTGATCTCTAAATCAGCTCCCAGATATATTTCGATGACCATGAATGAGGAAGGTGAAGTGATTCGTCACGAAGCTGTAATGCCTCCTGATTCGTTCATTCCTCAAATGAATGACTCTGAAAATTTTAATGGCACTTTCGTCCGAAATAGAGCATGTGGAGGAAAAAGTTGCCAGAAGGCAGCCAATTTGGCGATGAAGAGCTCATCATGGTATTTCGTTACAAACCTGATATTAAAAACGTCATGAGATCAATGGAAAATTGGGACAAAGGTATTTTTCCACATATGAATGTCCAGTCTCTCAATCAAGGGGATGTGTTATACGAATCGGGAAAACTCGATGAAAAGATATTGGAAAGTGATAAGAAGCTACAAAATATTACCCCTACAATTCAGGATATTCATCCCAAATCAAGACAGAATGATGAAAAGGCTCATAATAGTCTCCAGCATACAACACATAAAAGACCGAGTGTTTTCTATGAAGAAGTGCAGGATGATGAGAACTTTTTGGATGCTGTGTCTACCACACAGATCGTTCATAATCTGCCAGAAAAACATGAAGACGAAGAGAAACTTTGCATACCACCCATACAAGACCGGATATCAAAGTCTTTGAAATGTTTATGGATTTCGATGGACATTTACGCAAGTCAAACCTCAAAAGTGAAGCACCTGACCTTAAAAACCTTCGTCATCGTAGATTTGATGACGATGACAAAGAAGAAGATGAACAGCCACTGTACGAAACCCATACAATGCCCAAAGTTAAAATTTCAAAAGGCTCTGGAGATGATGAGAAATCACGTTCTTTCAAAAATGCTTTTCGAGAATATTCTAATGATTTTGAGTCGGATGAAAGCAATGCAAAAATGTTTTTGTTTAGAAATTCTCAGCAACATTTTGTTGAAGAACCAGACGAACAGATATAAAGTGATTAAGCATCTCAAGAAGAATTTCAGCACCATTTATTTGTAGAGCAAGGAAAATTAAGAAATTAAAAGAAAATAAGAATTAGAAATTAAGAAAAGAAAGAATTAATTCAAAATTATGAAAGAAAAACTTTTTCTTCAGAAATTGATGGGATCTTTAATTGGGATTTTTTTCCAAGATTCTCTAGTTTAGAGATAATGTAAGTTACTATAGTTTCAAACTACAAACCTTCAATGGTTACAACAAAAAAATGAAAAGAGTTCATTATAATTTTTGTTTGTCAAGTAAAATAAATTCCAGAAAACTGAAAGGAAAAATATGAAATCTATTTGATTTTCAGCAACATTTATTTGTAGAACAAAGAAAATTAAGAAATTAAAAGAAAATAAGAATTAGAAATTAAGAAAAAGAAAGAATTAATTAGAAACTATAAAAAGAAAAATTATTTTTCTTCAGAAAATAATGGTATCTTTAATTGGGATTATTTTCCAAGATTCTCTTAGTTTGAGGATAATGTAAGTTATTATAGTTTCAAACTATGTTAACTTAAACGGTTACGACAAAAAATGAAAAGAGTTCATACTAATTTTTGTTTGTCAAGTAAAATAAATTCCAGGAAACTGAAACGAAAAATATGAAATCTATTTGACTTTCAGCAACATTTATTAGTAGAACAAGGAAAATTAAGAAATTAAAAGAAAATAAGAATTAGAAATTAAGAAAAAGGAAGAATTAATTCAAAATTATGAAAGAAAAACTTTTTTTCTTCAGAAATTGATGGGATCTTTAATTGGGATTTTTTCCAAGATTCTCCTAGTTTAGAGATAATGTAAGTTACTATAGTTTCAAACTACAAACCTTCAATGGTTACAACAAAAAATGAAAAAAGAGTTCATTATAATTTTGTTTGTCAAGTAAAATAAATTCAGAAAACTGAAAGGAAAAATATGAAATCTATTTGATTTTCAGCAACATTTATTTGTAGAACAAAGAAAATTAAGAAATTAAAAGAAAATAAGAATTAGAAATTAAGAAAAAGAAAGAATTAATTAGAAACTATAAAAAAGAAAATTATTTTTCTTCAGAAAATGATGGTATCTTTAATTGGGATTATTTTCCAAGATTCTCCCTAGTTTGAGGATAATGTAAGTTACTATAGTTTCAAACTATGATAACTTAAACGGTTACGACAAAAAATGAAAAGAGTTCATACTAATTTTGTTTGTCAAATAAAATAAATTCCAGAAAACTGAAAGGAAAATATGAAATCTATTTGACTTTCAGCAACATTTATTTGTAGAACAAGGAAAATTAAGAAATTAAAGAAAATAAGAATTAGAAATTAAGAAAAATAAAGAATTAATTCAAAATTATGAAAGAAAAACTTTTTTCTTCAAAAATTGATGGGATCTTTAATTGGGATTATTTTCCAAGATTCTCCTAGTTTGGAGATAATGTAAGTTACTATAGTTTCAAACTACATACCTTCAATGGTTACAACAAAAAATGAAAAGAGTTCATTCTAATTTTGTTTGTCAAGTAAAATAAATTCCAGAAAACCGAAAGGAAAAATATGAAATCTATTGGATTCAAGAAGAACTTAAAAAAATGAGATCAAGATGATAAATTCATGATAAACACCAAACAGCACAGACCATATTAAGAAGAAAAAGGACGAACAACAAAACTGAATATTAATTTGTAGCATTCTCTGATTAAAAGTAGCATTTTAATGTTATGTAGTCTTTCATTAATACTCAGAACACTTAATGGCAAATTCTATGTGATCTGTTTTGTGTCATAGAAAAGAATATTGAATAATAATAATAGAATAATAATAATAAATAATATATAATATATAATAATAATATAATAATATAATAATATATAATATAACAATAATAATAATAAATAATCAATAATTCTATTATTAATACTAAAATATAGTAAGTATATTTAAAAAAAAGGTGGTATAAAAAATCATAAGATTAAGATAAGTAAGCATAAAGATTAAAAAACATTAAGCATATAGATTGAAAACAGTAAGCATATAGATTGAAAATAGTAAGAATAAAGATTACAAAATATTAAACAAATTTTAATAAAAATAAATTAATTTCAATTATACGTATTTTATTTCATTTCTAAAAAAAAAAGTATCTTTCAGCATTCAGCTATACAGAATTTTTAATTTTATTTTTAAAGAAATAGTGGAACAGTTAATATTTTTCGCAATTAAATATATTTAGTTCAAAATATGAGGTAAAAATTACTTCAATTCATAAGCATCAACCAAGCAAAAAAATTAGAAACTTGCGTAATTATTGATCATTGCTTCTTTCTATACGATGACAAGTCAAAAACTAAACAAATAATATAAAAAAAAATTTTTAAGTCAATTCCTACTTTTTCCACGCTATATTGTAGAAAGTACTTTATAAATAATTTTCATTAATTTTTTTTTAAGTTTATCTGGCGCCATCTGTTGGTAGATATAAGCAATTTAAAATAAATAAACTAAAATTGATTAATTAAATTTTAATTACTGAATTAATATTTGAAAAAACCGTATTCACATCAAGTGTCATCCACTACAAAATAAAAATGTATTTGAACTTGAGTGGAGGAATAAAAAGTATTTTATTAACGATTGAAAATTTGAACAAGATATATATAGGAGAGTGTGAGCTAATAGAAGGAATTGAAAAAGATTTTGTTGCTAAAATTCCATTAACTTTATTATATCCACCAACGCTGTATCGGAATACTTCAGTAGCAATTGAAGTAATTTAGAACATAGTTTTTTAGAACTTCGAACTTCATAATTTTATAATATTTAATGTATATAAATATTTTTTTAATCTTTTCAAGAAGGCTTTCAAAATTATTTTAATTTCTGCTCATGAGTTTTATTATGATTTATAAACTGATTGGAAATATATTTCTAACTGCTGACAATTATGTATAAATCAACATCTGTAAAATGAATATCACATCATACCTATTAAAAAGCTCGTTCCAAGTCGTGGCCGAGTGGTTAAGGCGATGGGCAAAAAATCAGTTGGGATCTTCCCGCGTAAGTTCGACTCCTACCAACCACGTTTAGAATTTTCTATAAGTGGCAGAAGCATTAAATAATATTCTGAATTTTTTTGAAAAAAAGAGATTTGTATTTGCCCCACTCATGAATCGAACTCCGTAGTTCGAATCCTACCGCCAAGTTTATGATTTTTAGAAATTAGCAGAAATTTTATTACTTTAAAGCGAATGATGAAGATTCGAATCCTTCCTGGCTCGACATATTCGCATTTAGGTTTCTTGTTTACTCACAATTATATTACTGTTAAGAACTATAATTTCAGTTCATCATACTGGGACATGAATTAAAAAATAATGCGCTTGTTCATAAAATTAATTTGAAAGTATTGACTTATATTTATCAACTGGAAAATTGAACACTCATAGTCGGGGACGGGTGGTTAAGGCGATGGATAAGCAATCCATTGGGATCTTCCCGCGCTGGTTCGAATCCCAGTGACTACGAAAAGGATTTTTAGAAATTAGCAGAAGTGCTACTAATTTAAAGCGAATGGTTGATTTTTTTTTTTTTTTTTTTTTTTAATTATGAAGAGCGATTTAACGCATAAAGTATAAAAAGTACCTAAAATATACAAAACTTGCGTGGGCCAGTAGCACAACGGATATCGCGCCCGCCTGAGGAACAGAATATTCTAGGTTCAAATCCTGCATGGTTCGATATATTCGTATTTAGCTTTCGTTTTACTAACAATTAAATTATTGTAAATTAGAGTCCTCCGTTTCGGATCTTATCAAAAATAACACTTTTAATCATAAAGTAAATATATGAAAGTATTGATTTATATTTCTCAACAAGAAAAAAGCATTTGTAGTCGTGGCTGAGTGGTTAAGGAGATGGACTAGAAATCTATTGGGATCTTCCCGCGTAGGTTCGAATCCTATCGACTGCGTTTTAGGAAATTTTCTATAAGAGGCAGAAGCATTAAAGAATAATCTGAAGATTTTTTTTAAAAAACTTGAAAATAAAGATTTATATTGCCTCATCATGAGTTGAGCTCCATAGTCGTGACATAGTGGTTAAGGCGATGGACTACAAATCCATTGGAAATTAGCAAGTCTTATTAATTTAAAGCGAATAGATGATTTCTTTTTTAACTCATGAAGAGCGATTTAACCCATGTAGAATGAAAGTACCTATAGCATTCTGACCTTCGTGGGCCAGTGGCGCAAAAAGGATAACTCGCCTGACTACGGATCAGGGAGATTCCAGGTTCGAATCCCTGGCTGGCTCGATATTCGCATTTAACTATGGTTTTACTCACAATAAAATGACTGTAAGAA